GCGGCAGGTGGCTGGCTGCTGCTCTTCCCGGGTCTCTTCCGGGTCCCTCTTGCGGCGTTCCCCCGTCTGGCGGGCGGCGGGGTGCGTTCCCCCGGCTGGCAGCGGCGTTCCCGGTCTGGCGGCAGCGTTCCCCCGGTCTGGCGGGCGGCGGCGTGCGTTCCCCCGGCGGGCTGTTTAATAGTTTTTAGTGTTTTTTTTTCTTTCTCTCTTCCTCCCACACTCCCTCCCTCTCTCTATTTCATACTCTCTCTCTGTCTCTGTCTCTGTCTCTCTCTCCATTCTCCCATCTTCCTCCCTATAATTCTCAATTCCACTCATCCTTCTATACTATCCCTTCCTGCCTTTTGAGCTTTGTCTTGGGTAATATTTCCATTTTAACCTTGTATTACTGTTGACCTAAGGAATGAGTACCTCTTTGGTGTTTTTGTTTGCCTTTTAGGACTGTCTGTTATTTGGCTGAAAGTGTGCCATGGGCCTGAGTTTAGTTCCAGTCTTGAAGAATGATTAAGGGCTGTAATACTGTGGGTCCCACCAATCTCTAGCAGATGAGGAAACCTGACCATTTTTTTTTTAATTTTATATTTTGTTCTGTATTTTTTACCCCTTTTGTCTAAGACTTTCTTTTGTGGTCAAACCTTGTAGCCAGGCACCATCTAGTTTTTCTGACCTCAGTTGGTGTTTCTTATCAGACCTTTTTCTAAACATTGAAGTATATCTAAAACACTCTGCCTGCTGACCAAAAGTTTGGAGTTCAAGTCCCAGCCATGCTGCAGGGGAGGTTTGTGCTTCTGTAAGTATTGGAGGATTGGAAACCCTGTGGATCAATTCTGCTCTGTCCCATTGAATGACTGTGTGAATCAGATTCAACCCAACGATAGTGGGTTTGGGTTTTGATCAATGATGGTCCCTTGTTTAGCGTTTTGAAGAACTGCCAGGCTGTTTCCCAAAGGCATATGTTTTCCTTGGGGATGGATAGGAGTCTGGGAACCTGCTTGTTTTAACAAAGACCCCACTGAGTCTTGGGATGAAATTTGGGGAAAAAGGCAGTGCTGAGTCTCTTCAGTGAATACAGGGATTGCGTGGCTGTGATTGCTGTGCCCAGTACCCAGTACCCACGTTGAGTTATTGCACAGAATAACACTGTTTTTGCTTCGGAAAAGAAATTGCTGCCGCGGGAATGAAGGATCAGAATCAGTGATGGATTATCAACCAAGCCTGAGTCTTTTTATTGTTGATGTTGAAAATCTCCAAAGCAGATCATATACCACTTCAGTATTTGTGCATACATGAGCTGGTGATTGTAAGAATATTCTTCAAGCTGTCCAATGATTCTTTCCCTCCTTTTCCAAGTTGTATTCTGTCATTAATATAAATTCACTACCCTTTAATTTACAATACTGAATACTGAAAGGTTCTATGGGCAGAATGTTAAGTGACACAAGAAACATCAAAACTGTACCACCAAAAATTGATCACTTCTGAACCATTTCAGGAAGTAGCCTATGACCAAGAACCAATGGTAATGAACAAAGAAGCCAATGCCTTCAGTGCATTCGACTCAACACATAACCAGTACTTATTGTTGTTGTTTTCAGGTGCCAGCATGTTGAGTACAGCACATATTGACCCTGTGAACAACAGATCTCACTCCTGTCCTATCCTGTAGCGTCTTCCTCATCTCTGACACACTTGTGCCCATTGCTGCAACCATTGTATCTAATCCTTGTTGAGGGTCTTTCTCTCTCATTGACCGTCCATCTTTCCAAGCATGATACCCCTTTCCAAGGAGTAGCTTCTCCTAGCAACATGTCCAAAGTATGAGAGACGAAGCTTTGCCATCCTTGCCTCTATGGAGCACTCTGGCTGCACCTTTTCCAAGACAATTAAGAGACTGAGAGAGAATGGATGCCTTTGAATTCTAGTGTTGGCAAAGGATATTGAACAAAGGTAGCATGGACTTCTAAAAGAACAAACCGATTTGCCCAGGAGTTCAGATAGAATGCTCCTCGGAGGTCAGGATGGTGAGAGTTCATTTCATGTATCTCGTGTGTAAATACGTAACAGTGAAGTGAAGCCGGCAGAGGTGGTTACAGAGCACGCTTGGGCAGAGCTTCATTTACAGAGTCACTACGAGTAGATGTCGACATGACCTGACAGCACCTAGTAACAATAACAGTGCATTCACTACAATTAAACAAAATATTAAAAACAAAACTCTGCTTGTTGAAGCCGAGCCAGAATCCAAGATTACATGGTAAAGCAAGGGTAGCAGAGAATGAGATGGGAAAATACAGGCCGAGGTAAGGTTTTCAAGCAGCAGAAGAAAGCTTGCTGAGTTCCCCAGCAGTCTAAGCAAAGAGGGAGATGCAGCTTTAATAAAAGGACGCAGCTCTTCAGAATAAAGCCCTTCCCTTTTCTCTTGGCTTTTCAAGGACTCTTTGGTCAAAGGGGTACATAGAGTACAGCAGATAGAGGGCTTGAGTGTTGGAGTCTGACTTGGCCTCAGACCGGAGGTAAAATTCTCATTTTATAGGAGCTCATGGAGCTGCAGTAATTACTGCATGTAGGATAACTTCTGATCATGATTCTGGCGCAGTGTCTCTGCACAGTCTTCTGCTGCATGGTCAGCTCTGAAGTATTGATGATAGTCACATCACCACAGTCGTGTTGCCAGCTCTCTTTCCCACTCTTTGTCCCTGTGTGTCCGGGAGAGTGCTCTGAGGAGGCCGTGGGCAGATTTCACGTACAGGGCTCCAGAGGCAGCCTGCGGAAGAAGCCTCCAGGGCAGAGCTAACTCGATTCAGAAAGCTGGGAAGAACATCTTCCCCCTGTACAGTTCTGTCTTGGTCTTTTTCCCCTTTGAGGAAGGAAGAGGAGGTGGGGAGCTACTATGTTGCTTTATAGACACATACTCTTCTGTTAAACGCAGGCTTTGTTCTCATCAGTGGAGTTGTTCGCCCCTCCAGGGTGCTGGTTGGGGTTCCTGCTTTTGCTCAAGATGTGGATAACTGCGTTCTCTCTGCATCACTGGGAGCATTTTCAGCGAGGCTGCACTTGGACCATGAAGTCGTTTGATCTCGTTGAGCAGTTTCGATTTTCAGTAGAGTTTTGGTTTTCATTTTTTCTCCTCTGACCTCAAGGCCTTTTCTCATGGTTAGTGGTTTGGCAGTTCTAGAAAGAACACACTCCTTCTCCATCTTCCCTCCCTCTTGCTCACGCCTCTTTCTCTGGCCCGCTTTCTCGCCTTTTTTTCCATCCTCCCTCTCCTCCTTGCCTGCCCTTTGAAGACTTAAAGTTTATTTGGTTTTTTGTTGTTGTTGTTGTGTACTGTGGATCCAACTAGCACAGGAAGAGGTTGCCCCTTCTTCTCCTGTGGAGCAGCTGGTGGATTCGAATCACGTGCCTTTGGGATTGCAGAGCAGCTTCTTGCCACTAGCCCACCAGAGCTCCCTGAAGACTTAAAGTTTTATAGATAATTTCACATCACTGGGGGAAAAGTCTTTGTTTCTCAATAATTCATCAGCGCTCTGACTCAGTTATACATTTGTATGGTTGTATGTGCAAGCATGTGTGTGCATACATTCTTTTAGATGTTTTTATTGCATTTATTTCTCTGACAAAAGCAGTGCTTCCTAGAAGGCAGACAGGCCTGTCTCCATCACCAACTCTCAGACCTCTTACGGCACCAAGCACTGCTTTAGGAAAAATCACTTCTCTTCCAGTGCCTCCTTTCCCCATCTGTGAAATGGGCATATGACAGCGCACCTTCCCCAAGCGGGGTATATAAGGACTTAGTCGCTCAGTCCAAGCTGAGCCCTGAGCCCCAGTGCTGGCGTCTGGTCAACTTTCTGTAAAAACCAGCCTCCGGCTTTTGTCCTTGAATATTTGCAATCTAGTTTGGTTGAAATTCTTTGAGCTGCAAGATGTTAGGGTCTGCAGGAGCCCTGTTCTGTCTAGGCCCTGTTGGCTGTTGGAGGCTCACATTTTAACCAGACTCCACACTGGCTTCCAGGCTGTGTAAACAGGCTGACATCGGATTGTCTGTCTTACTCATACGCTTTTCTTTTGCCTTGCAGCTGATGCCTTCTTCAAAGCCGGGATCACCCTCATTCCTGAAGTTCCGAAGATGATTAATATTGATGGAAAGATGCGGCCGTCAGAACCATTCCTTCTGGAATTCCTCTGCAATTTCTTTTCTACCCTATTGATCGTTCCGGTACGTTACCCCAGAACAACATGGAGGTGATGCTTTTCATTGCTTTGTGTTCATGTACGTTCTGAGCCTAAAAGCTCGGGAAAGTTCCTGCTCATATCCACATGAAGTACGTTTTATGGTCAGCTATTTGAAGAGCTTGGCTTATTGTCTATTCATACGGTGCCTGAGTGTAGTAGATTGGTGCTGTCAACGACTTCATCTTACTTGGAACCAGCAGTCAGGTGATCAGGAGACATAGTGCCCTAGGAGAGTCTGTGGTCAGGGACCTCTCCAAAATATTGAGGAGTAATGATGTCATTTTGAGGAATAAGGTGCACCTAATTCAGGCCATGGTCTTTTCAGTTACTTGCCATGCTTCTGAGAGCTGGACAATGTCTGTAAGAATGACAGAAGAATTATTGATGCCTTTGAACTGTGGTTTTGGAAAATAGTGCTAAATATCCCATGTACTTCCAAAAGAACAAACAGATATGTCCTGGAGAGGGTGCAGCCAGAGTGCTTCTGGGAAGCAAGGATGCCGAGGCTTCATCTCACATACTGAGGGCATGTTGCTAGGAGATGTTACTCCTTGGAGAAGGACATCATGCTTGGAAAGGTGGACGGGTGGCGAAGAGAGGATGACCCTCAACTTAGTGGAGTGACACAGTGACCGCACTGATGGACTCGAGTGTGTCAGAGACTGTGAAGATGGCACAGGATAACACAGGGCTCAGGTCTTTTGTTCATGGTGTCACTGTGGATCATGTTCTACTCAGCAGCACCTAACAACAACAACAACAACAACAACAACAACAACATACTGCTGAGGGAGTGCAGCTTAGTGGTTGAGGGCACAAGCCTTGGAGCCATGTGTGAATCCCAGCTTGTCCACAGCCAGCACTCCAGTCTGTGACAATAGCAGACCTTCGCTAGGCTTCTGTTTCCTTATCTATAGGATGAAGATACGAAGAATATCTTCCCCTTGGGGTTATTGTAACGATTATGTGAGGAAATATATATGACATCATTCTGTTGGCTCATAGGAAGCATCATAGAATGTTATGTAAAAGCACCGGAAGTGGTGGTGACAGTGATATTCTTTGGGTTGTTTGTAATTTTTTATTACTGTTGTGAGCCGCTGAGTTAGAACCAACCTATAGATGACCCTCGAGCAGATCTTCAGAGGCAGTAAATCTCACAGGAAGAGATTGCCCATCTTTCTCCTGCAGAGCAGTTGGTGGATTTGAACCTCATGCCTTTGGCTTAGCAGTGCCAGCTCCTTTACCACTAAGCCACCTGTGCTTTATGATTGTTGTTACGCGAAAGTTTACGAAACAAATTCATTTCCCACTCGACAGTTTATGCACCCTTTTTTGTGTGACGTTAGTTACAGTTCCCTCACTTCTCCTGCTTCCTCGCTGGGTTTCTTGTATTCATTCCTCTTTCTTTTCTGCTTCTTCCTACGTCTGACCTTTCCAGATATTTACTTGCTGATGTGTCCTACTCAAAATGAGAATGAACAACTTCAAGCATCCCTTAATAACTGCAATGTGGAATCTACAAAATATGGATCTAGGAATTGAAAGTCATCGTAAGTAAAATAAAACACCTAAAGATTGATGTCCTTGGCATTAGTGAGCAGAAATGAACTGGCACTGGACATTTTGAATCAGACAATGAAAAGTCCACTCTTTGCAATCACTTACTACGCATCAGAGAGCGGCACAGTGAATAAAGATGACAGAGCGATGTTGTGATGCTGAAGAAGAGTATTGCACATTCTTTGGAGTTCCAAGAGAATAAACAGGTTTGGTCTGGAGAGGATGAAACCTGGCTGCTTCTTGAAGGCAAGGATTTTAAAGCTCTGTTTCATATACTTTGAGCATGTGTCCAGGAGGGACCAGTCCTTGGAGAAGGATATCATGCTCAGAAGGGTGGTGGGAAAGCACAGGAAAGGAAGACCTTGGAGGAGATTGATTGACGCAGTAGCTCGGGTAATAGGGGTTGGTATATCTGAGTCAGTGAGACTGGCTCAGGACAGTGCAGGATTCCGAGCTATAGTGTATGCTGGGTCACTGTGAGTTATACTCGATTCAATAGGACATAACAGCAACGTGCTAGGAATAACAAATTGAAGAAGAATGTAATCTCAATCATCTTCAGGAAGTACATTTCAACATATATCCTGAAATACAAGGCTGTCACTGATTTGGTAATACCTATGTGACTACAAGGATCTGCTAATATGACTGCTGTTCAGATTTACACACCAGCCACTAGAGCCAAAGGGGAAGAAATTGAAGATTTCTGTTGACTTCTGCAGTATGAAATCAATCAGAGCCAAAGGGAAGAAATTGAAGATTTTTGTTGACTTCTGCGGTCTGAAATCAATCAAACCTCAGTCAGATTGCATTGATAACCACTGATAAGTGGAACATGAAAGTTGGCTAGAGAAGGACTGGTAGTTGGAAAATACAAAGTTGATGAGAGAAATACAACCAGAAGTCACATGATAGAATTTTGTAAGGCCAATGGTTTATTCATTTCAAATACCATTGAGGAAAAATAAAATAAGCAGTGACTTTCTACATAGACTTGATGTGATGAAATACAGAAATTGTGTCAACTACATCTAGTGTGTGGGGAGAGGATGGCGAAAGTCAGAATCATCAGTGAGAACCTCGCGGGGCTAACTGTGGAAAAGGCCATCAGTTGCTTGTCTGCAGGTTCATATTGAAGCTGAGGAAAATAGAAAAAGTGCACAAGAGCCAAACTACTGATTCTGTGCCACGTGGATATGGAGATCATCTCAGGAAGTTCGAACAGTAATAACCAAGGTGAATTGTGGGATTACGTCAAGGACACTGTATATGACGGACATGAAAAAGACAGCAAGAAAATGGTGCCACTGTTGTAGAAAGTGACTGACATCAGGGTTGGGGTAAGACTGAGAAAAACTGGATAGATTAAGTATACTGAACTGAAACAGATGAGGGAGAGAGCAGTTTAAAAGTGATATATGATAGCATATTATGATTATCACAGGAATCCAGAATTAAGGTTGCATAGTGGAGTGCATTGGGGGCAGGGGCAGGGGCGGGTTGGGGGATTGTATACCAATGAAGAAGTTTATCTTTTGCTTTTCAAAGACAGGAGCGAACTCGGGGGAGGGGAGTAAAGAAAAAAAGTGCAACAATGAATGAATGAAAATCCAAAATCTCTGTAAATGTTCATTAAAATTAAAAAAATAAAATTGTTGTTGTTGTTGTTATGTGCCGTTGAGTCGTTTGCGACTCATAGCGACCCTATGTACAACAGCCCTAAACCCTGCTCTATCCTGTGCCAAGCTCATT